ATATACACCATACATTTATCATTACCCAAATAATATCATATTTAATTCTAAAATATTCGAGCTAATCAATATACCATGTCAAGTCAGTTTTTTGTTGAATTCAAAAAGTCAACTTCATTCTAATGTCTTTTAGCCTACAAATATTAGAATCAACTTTGATCTTCACTTTATAATACCCTTTCATCAACCATTTATTATTTTTTTTTTTTATCTTTATATTATATTCGTTAAAAATTATATTGATAAAAGAATCTAAGTAATATTTCAAAATAAAAAACCAGGTTAGCATAAGTGTTCCACATGGTTTTTTCTTGTTTTTTCTTTAATTATCATAGAACCGCAAGAATATATATACCATACTTTCAGTCCATAAAGTTTCTGATCTAGCATGAACTATTAACACATGGAAGACCAATTCACAAAACATAAAAAAAAAAAATCATATTCACGCACGCAGTTCACTAGTTTTGTTCCATTCATTATAAAAATATTGATAATATAGTAATTCTATTTCACATTATTTTATATTTTTTTTTGTTTTATATCTCAAAAGTAAATACATATATACTGGTGGAGCAAATGTTGTTTTCGAATTTTCTATCTCAAGATAGGAATCAACTATGACATTCACTTTCCCGCCGCTTTTTGTGGTGGATCGGTTTCGTTCTCATTTCGAAGATGTTTTTGGAGTATTTTTCTTCGAATTTATGTAGTGTGATTCCGTTGTAAACAATTTTTTTTTCTTTGACTTTTTGACACTAACAAGAAAGAGATTCAAATACTCTGAAGCTAGACCAAAATAAGCAATCAAGCTTGCAAATCATTTTTTTTATTATCGAAACAAATTGTTCTATTCAAGCAACTAAATAACTCGTGAACCAGTTTCCTTTTCTTGGTTCCAAGTTCCAACCTAGATTGTATGTATTGTAAACCGGATTTCGATCCGAGGATTATCTCTAAGTGCATACGTAAAAATTTAGCGAAGCAAGTTTTAATCTCGTGCCCAAACAAAAGAAAAACAAACCATTCACAAAACTATCAACCAAAAATCTCTTACGTACTCGATAATCTTTAGTGGTAAATGTATCCAAGTTATATTTAAATACTAGATACGTACTAAAATAAATGTTGAGTCTATTTCAAACAATGATAGCCTCATGTAGTTAAGTTTCTAAAAAAAAAACTTTCTCTATTATGGTTCTCTTTTAATTATTTTTAAATGTGGCGTCATTTATAACTTCAGCTTTATCAACTAATGGAAATCATTTTTTTAAAGGAACAAAAGAACTAATCTTAAGTAAGATGTTAAAAACTAAAGTTATGAAAGAAAAGAAAAACACACATTTAAATATTATAACATTTTAAATACAAAAATATTTGAACACCAAAAAAAAAAAAATGTTTGTGCCAATTCATAGCTTACTTGTAAAATGCTGTCGACATAATAATTAAGGTCTATCATCTAGTTCACATAAGATCAACATATATGTATTGTATTGATAAGAAAAGAAGAATGTTATTATATTGTACATGTAAATGCTTTTTAAAGATTCTGAATTTTGAAAAAGAGTCAAAGTTTTGTAGATACTCATGCATGAATTTGGCTATACAAACATATAAGAAACTAATGGAACCACGTGAATATGAAGGCCTAACATGGAAGCTGCTTTGAAGGCAGTGAGGACACCTTCATCATTGTCCTCAAGGACCACTTTACCTCTTGGCTTTATCTTCTAAGATCCACCACCAAGATTTTCCCTTTGCTTTTTAAGTGTCTCTGATTCTCTTTGCATTTAAATGGTTTCTTACTCTTAATTCATGAGAAATACATAAGAAGAAACGAAATTAGAAAAACTTTAGGTGATTAAAATTGTATTTGTAACGACCCGGTTTTACAAATCAGGTCTGTTTGGAAAATTCAATCCCGAACTAAGACGGTTTAAGTCCAATTCCCATTTCTTGATATTTTATTTTTCTTTCGAGAGATAATTAATTCCTAAATTTAGATAAATATTAAAATATGATATTAATGAACATTTTCCTAAAAGAATTGTAAATATTCTTATTATAATTATTCTTTCCTTTTTTCGTGGTTATCTTTACTTTACTCTAGTCTCCCACTGAGTATAAATAGAGAGCCTTTCCTATTTTTTTTTTTCATTCTAAATTTTCAGAGAACTGAAAAACCTTAGAACTCTCTTCTCTTTTTCCGGCGCCGAGCTCTCTTTCTCCGCCATTGCTCTCTCTTCCTTTCTCTCTCTTTGCCGTTTCCTCTCTCTCTTCACCATGTCTCGCCGATCATCTTTGCCGCCATCCGACGAATGCTCCAGCCGCAGACATCATCCACCGCCGCAGAGGAGCCGCAAGTCCATCACCTTCGGGATGAACCCGTAGCCGCTCCGTCCAGCCCCCTAGCCCTGGTGTTTCACGTCAATGACAAGCCGGAGTCCTCCCGGAGTCACGCGCCGCCGCAACATCACCCTCGGAGATCGATTAACCCGGCGTGGTTAGCCGCCGTCGAGCACCTCGCCACCTTCTCTTCTCCTTATCTCCCCTTGCCACTTTCTTCGCCACCTAGGCCAACGTGAGGATGAATCTGTGCTTGAATATTGTGAACTCTGCTTCTCTGAATGCATAGTTTGGAGTTAAACCAAGCATAGCCTACTTTTTGCTTTAAAATTGAGTCCCAACTAGGTCTTGTTAGGTTGTTAATTGCTCTGCAAATCGCTTAGATGTGTTTAGAGTTTTGAAACTAAAGTTGCAGGAGACTTAAAACGAATCTTTACTTGTGTTTGAAACGCCTTGCTTGTTTGATTGTTGTTTGGATCTCTTATGTGATTGTGTGATCGCCTAGAACTTATAAAAATGATAACGCGTTTGACTTCTAATGCAGACGGTTATCTTCACATTGCCGTTTCGGTTTATATTATCAGAATCGGGTGTCACAGTATTGTGATTTGTTTTTATTCCGACCTCAAGAATAAACCATTCATAATTAAGAAAACACTATTATTTGATTAATCTATTAAGTAAATTACTTCATATGCTATTTTCTTGTTCTTGCTATTGGATTAAAGGTTAAAAGGCTTAAAACAGTTTTTTCAACTCACAATTAGAGAAACACATGGACAATTACCCCCAAAACGTTTAGTTTCTTTATATACCAAATTAAAAGTACAAAACTCTAACAATGTTGGATTGTTAGAAATTCATTATAGTTTTGACACCACAAAATCTATTACTACACAAATATTATCCGCGTGAGGCATAAAATACTAACTAAAATTACAGAATCTAACTATACTATGGCCAACCTTAATTATCTTTTTAGGCAAAACCAGAAAATCTCAAGTACGAATAATGAACTAGATTCTGAATCCAACAAAAACATGTTTTATACCTATGAGTATTATATGATTAATACCGGATCTCAAGTCTTTTAAGTATTCATCCATAAGTACCATTGTCACGTAATAAAAACGCAGAATTTGATCATATCATTTTATCGGTGTTAAAAACCTTAAAAGTATATCATCTAAACACATCAAAAGTTTTTGATGTATAAAAATGAATGAATTCATACAGAAAAAGGTGGAACAAGAGAGAGAAGGCAAATTTTACGTCAAGCCTACCTTATAAAACACACGTGACAAAAATCGCAAAATGCAGACAGTCCATGCATGAAGCCGGACCGTGTATGTTCGACCCGCTTCTAAAGCTGTCATTTGGATCCTAGCTACTCCTAGTTAATTACTTTACTAAAATTATATTTTCTTAACTAAAATTATGTGCGTTAGCCAGAGATTGACATTTCGTAATCACATGGGATAAATCATGATAGTAACATAACTCTAAATATATATGGATACAACATTACTCTAAATATGATTACAATGATTTATCATTACAAGGCTGTAAAATAAGAGGACAAAACGAAAACGTAAAGAATTTCAATCCAATATATCTTTAGTTAATATGAATTTAACTAAAAGAAGTTGAACACTGAATAATCACTCAGAACGTAGCTGTTGTCTAGTAACGACAAAATTGTGGTATATTATTTTTGTATCACAAAGTTAAAATCAAACATTTGTGGGGAGTTAAACCAAGATTCCGTCGTCCCGGTTATCTATAGAAAATTATCGATTTAGAGTTAGGGCTTTCTCACTCAAATGCCATGTCACCTAATCTGGGTTCTGAGTCCAAAACTGTGTTTCCCATTTGAAAAAACGACAAAAGTTATTGAAGAACTTGGACCCAATATCACTTTTTGCATGTGCAAGATTTAACCAACTCTTAGATGCAGAGTGGTTAATTACAGTGGATTAGTAAAATAGTCGGTTAACGATATTTAGCTACTTGCACAGCACAAAAGGGTTAGTGAAGAACTAATCAGTTGAAGGTTTTGGTTAAGTCTTATTTAAAACATTCTAAATTAAGTTTAGATAACCCATCTACAAAAACATTGTAATCACATAGCTAGACTAATTACAAAATCATATATTTTATTTTGTTGTAAGTTTTTTTCTTTTTTTGGAGTTGAAACAAAGACTAATCACAAAACAACATGAGTGAGTATATCCGCAAGCAAAAATTGTCTCTAGTGATAATTAGATAGGGACAAATAACAAATAGTGTATTTTAAAAGAATGCAATCAGCATCATGTGAAACATATCTGAATTTTTATTGTAATTTTAAGCAAGTATGTAATTCTGTATAATAGAGTTAACTATAAAAACGAAATTGATGATAAAAATGGATGAACGCGAAAAAAAATTTAGACTGAACTACATTCGGTTTGAGTGTCGATTTGATTGTTGCTGCTTCATTCGGTTTCCACTATACTTTCTAGTGTGAAACAGATTTTATAGTCTGCTTTTAATGTATAAATTAGTGTTTTTGTTCTTCCCATGTCGCGTCAGATTCTCTGATTAGATTTTTTTTGTGTGTGTCAATTCTCTGATTAGATGTTTACGCGTAATTAAGGATCTGATATTGGCTTTAATATTTCTAAATCAAATAAACCAACGGTCTAGAGCAATGTAAACCAAATATCAAATAAACATAATCTGAGATGTAAAGAGTTTAATTAATACTCGCGACTAACCTGGGTCACAAGCAAGAAATTACTGATGTGGAAATCTATAATTGGTCCACTTGTCATCATTACAAATGAGCTGTCCACTTAAGAGAATCTTTTTCTCTTCTGTAGTTAGTTCTGTAAACACACACGCTCAACAATTTACCAAAGAGAATTCCATTAAGTCAGTGTTTAGAAAATGCATACCGTAAAGTATTTATTAGATACTTAACGAATACTAGAATTTACTTATCTTTATTCTTTTGGCCCTTAAAAATTCTATTCTGACCATCTTTTCTTTTTGCCCTTACCTGGTCCATTTCTGGATTCCTGTAAATGAAAAAAAACACCAAAATTTTCCATTAACATACACACACACAAAAATGTGTTATGTATATATATATTGGCCTCAAATGCTAAGTAAATGGATATCCCACTCCCACAAGAGTCACAATCTCATCAAGTAGAAACTCCATTAACCAGATTGCGTCCTCTTTCTCCTTCTTCTTCCCCTTCCTCTCTCCAATTTTCAAATCTGTACTTCCTGTCAAAAAGAGAAACTCTAAGCATCACTGCTGTACAAAAATCCCAATGTCTGCCACTTAAATAGATGTTACTTGTTTTCTTCCTCCAAACGTACCAACACTACTCTGTCCCGTGAAAACCGCTTCTAGTTTCACCCTCTTAATCATTTCTTGTGTAAGCCTCCTTATGGGTTTTTTGCAGCATTAATCTTGCACTGAGTCTGTGTAACGAAGTTTAACCTTTCTCTGCAAAAAAAAACTTTTTTTCTCCTTTTCAGAAAAAGATAAGACATGGGTCAGATCAAGTTGTTGTAGTAAAAGACAGATCCAACGTGAGAGAGAGAGAGAGAGAGAGAGAGAGAGAGAGAGAGAGAGAGAGAGAGAGAGAGAGAGAGAGAGAAAAAAGTTAGTTAGCTTGTGAAACTTGTCACAAGTTTCATCACTATATTTATAACTACCTTTGTAGAAGAGGAAGCACTTAAAACAAGAACATGTCAATCTCTTGCACTAGAAACTTCTTCGAAAGATTCTGCGTCGAAGAATACAACATGGACGCAATGAAACACAGCAGTTTCCTCTCTGCTAATCTCTTGCCATCTCTTGGAGCAAGAATTAACCAATCCACCAAGCTCCGTAAACACATTATATCTCCTTTCAGTCCACGTTTCAGGTTTTGTACAACTTCATAACTCAAAAATCTTTAGCGTTCTGTTTCTGTTTTCTTGAGTTGTGGCTTAATGTTGTTGATTCAGGGCATGGGAGATGTGGCTAGTCATTCTTGTGATCTACTCAGCTTGGATTTGTCCTTTCGAGTTTGCATTCATCACCTACAAGAAAGACGCTCTTTTCATTGTAGACAACATTGTCAATGGCTTCTTCGCCATTGATATCATCCTCACCTTCTTCGTTGCTTACCTAGACAGCCACTCTTATCTTCTAGTCGATAATCCTAAGAAAATAGCTATAAGGTGAGAACAAAAGCGCATAAGACTTGTACAGTACATTTTTGTTAAGGGAAGCAGAGTTTCATAACATGTTTTGTTTTTTTGGGACATGAAACATTTTTTTCAGGTACCTTTCTACTTGGTTCGCCTTTGATGTCTGCTCAACAGCTCCATTCCAGTCACTGAGTCTCCTGTTTAATTACAATGGAAGCGAAATAGGATTCAGAGTTCTTAATATGCTCAGGCTCTGGCGTCTCAGACGAGTTAGCTCTCTGTTTGCCAGGTTCATTCTCAATACTAAATCATAATCAAACCATTTTCTTCCAAGTTAAGAAGAGTTAGCACAAATTTTAATCTCTCTTCTCATTTTCCTTTTGATTCAGGCTTGAGAAAGATATCCGCTTCAACTATTTCTGGACACGATGCACAAAACTCATTTCGGTAAGTTCCCAAAAACAGAGGAAAAAAAAACTTTCTATTTTCATCTATAAACGTTACAACGTGTGTACTTGTCTATATCAGGTGACACTGTTTGCAGTACATTGTGCTGGATGCTTCAACTACCTCATCGCAGATCGATATCCTGATCCGAGGAAAACATGGATCGGAGCTGTGTATCCAGATTTCAAGAAGGCAAGCCTATGGAGTAGATATGTGACTGCTCTCTACTGGTCAATCACTACATTAACAACAACAGGATATGGAGACTTACATGCTGAGAATCCGAGAGAAATGTTGTTCGACGTCTTCTACATGCTATTCAACTTGGGTTTCACATCTTACCTCATTGGAAACATGACTAACCTTGTCGTTCACTGGACTAGCCGCACAAGAACCTTTGTAAGTCCAATCACTATCTTTCGATGCCAAGTTTCAACTGCCACAAACGTCTGAAAGCTGATTCTTTTTCAATTCAACAGAGAGATACTGTTAGAGCTGCTTCAGAGTTTGCATCAAGAAACCAACTCCCACCAAACATACAAGACCAGATGCTATCACACATTTGCTTAAAGTTCAAAACAGAGGGACTGAAACAACAGGAAACTTTGAATGGTTTGCCTAAAGCGATTCGGTCAAGCATCGCAAACTATCTCTTCTTCCCAATCGTTCAGAACGTCTACCTCTTTCAAGGAGTTTCTCGCAACTTCCTCTTTCAGCTGGTAACATACTATTATGTGTTCTTGTCCGTTTCTTTCTCTAATCTATATGTCATAAAGTTACCAACTCGAGTTACACTTTCCGACAAAGGTTTCAGATATAGATGCCGAGTATTTCCCACCCAGAGAAGATGTAATACTACAGAACGAGGCTCCTACGGATCTTTACATTCTTGTCTCAGGGGCAGTGGTGAGTGGCTGAAACTAAAAAAAAAAATCAATAACTGCATAGGAATGTTGAAGTTACCTTCTAACATATTTTACACATTCTGGTGGTGATTTTATAGGATTTTACTGCCTACATTGATGGTGAAAATCAGGTATGTGGACAAACTATTTGACCAAAAAAGATGAATAATCAAATTAAGTAATAATAACCAGAATCTTCACATTCATGTAGGTTCAAGGAAAGGCTGTTGTTGGAGATGCATTTGGAGAGATTGGAGTTTTATGCTACACACCACAGCCTTTCACAGTAAGGACGAGTGAACTATCTCAGATACTAAGGGTAAGCAAAACATCTCTAATGAGTGCTATGAGAGCTCATGTTGAAGACGGACGTGTCATTATGAACAATCTCTTCATGGTGAGTAAGGAAGAACGCCATTAAAGTGGAAACAACAGAGTTTTTGTTTTTAAAGATGTTTTTTCACACAATTATCAAACTCATTTTCATGGTGAAAAATTTGCAGAAACTCAGAGGGCAACAGTCTATAGCAATCGATGATCCAAACAACCAACAAGACTTCCTCCTCAAGGAATGGCTCGGTGGTGGTCCAGCACGAGGAGAAGGGAATGTCAGTGATCAAGGAAAGGGGATCAAATATTTGCAACTGAATGATTCAGAAAATGTTGACTTTAAGTCAACAGACGATCAAGAACATAGAATAGAGATAGCAGACAAAGATCTCAATGTCAAAGGTTGCTCTAATGCAGATCTTACCTCGTTTGAGTGTCCTTCACGAAAAACATATCCATATCGCAGATCCAGCGTCTCGGTAAAACCTAGCAAACATGAAGCTGCGAAGCCAAAAGATGTTATGAGAGTTGCAATCCACTTCAAGTCGGGAGGAAAAGAGTCGTCGAAGCTGATAATCTTACCTGCTTCAATAGAAGAGCTTCTAAGACTTGCAGGTAAAGCTATTAATGCTCTAAGAAACTAGTGAACATGAGAAGGGATCAAGGTAAAGAAACAATTATAACACTAAATGATTATGCAGGTGAGAAATTTGGAGACAGGAGCTTCACAATGGTCACCAATGCGGAAAACGTTGAGATAGATGACATAAATGTCATTAGAGATGGTGACCATTTGTTTTTTTCCATTGCTGAGTATGAAGTTAAAGAGTCTTAACGTTTGTATTATTCAATAGTAGCCTTTTTTATAGAGAGAGTATGTATATCATTGATGTAATTTGTTAATCCAGAAAAATATATCATCAAAGAAGAATCCAGAGAAATTAATTTTGATAAGCACAATAACATCTAATCTCATCTTCCAGATCCAGAAAACGAATCTCTAAACCTTACCAAGTTACAAAATCAAAACAATGTACAATCAAACGAAGAAACTGGAAAAATTTCGATGATGGAACCTGGCGATTATCTGGCGAAACTTGTTTCAGTGTGAGATCGGAAACGCATATTCACACTCCCATCGATCTGTGATTCTCTGTGTGAAGAATTTTTAGAAGTTTTAAAAGATTGATGAATTTTGAATTCAACAGAGCGTTTCCCGCTCTTCTCCAAAAGCGTAGAAATTGGTCCCCGGCGATATCATTCCAATCTTGGGTTTATATAGTCGACGAAGTTGATAATAATGGGCCTGAGCTTAATAATGAACCCAACTATAATGTATCTGTGTTTTTGTACCTAATTCTGAGAGTTTTAATTTTATTTATGGGATTTATTCATACAATCCCCTTGACTTGAAATTATGCAATGTATTTATCAAATTACACATTTAGATCAATTAAAAATTTAAGAAAAATCCTGAATCGACCAGAATTAGTTTAGCAACTTAACAATATCGACGACAAATTAAAATCTTGGAAATGCTTGCTAATAATTAATTTCGAACAACTGAACGGATAATTTAGACGCCAAGAAAAGGGATAGTTTTTTTTTTTTTTTTTTATCAAGATCTATTGCTCTCATCCTTTTGTTCCATCTTTACTCTCGCTCTCGCTCTCTCTAGACCAAAACGGTTTTGCCAAAACTCTATACTCTCTCTCTCTCTCTTTCAATCGCAATGGACGAGTTGATCAAACAAAGCCTTCTCAAAAGCTTCATCGTCTCCCTCATTCTCACTCTCGTCTTCCTCATATCACCATCATCATCATCATCATCGTCACCTTCGAATCAAGAAACAAGAGTATCAGCACGAAAGACAGAAACCTATCTCAACGGCAACGAAGAATCGCCGCACCAACTCGTCTACATCAAGAAAACGCCGCCGTTTATCTTGAACCCCCGGCAACGAGATCACCACAACCGTCGTCGTTACAATCACCACTACTACTACTATCGCCATCGTATTCCTCGCCGTGGTCTTCAGTTTCATCATCGTGACGACTACTTCAAGATGATGACCAAGAAGAGTAGTAACGGTTTAAACCGTCCTGTACGACCTAATACTTTCACGGTTATGCTTCCCAAAGGATTCATACCTCCGTCCGGTTCTTCTCCATGCCATAACCAGGACCCTAACTCCGCTACCACTCTCTTCTGCGATCTTTCTACCCCACCTTAGAGTTTTCCTTAAACCGGACTTCGCAATTGATTCATTTCCGGTACGTAAAACGATTTTGTTCCTCCACTTTTGTAGTTTTCATATTTTTTTCTTTTCTATTGCAAATTTTCATTTTGAGATATATTTGTAACGATCAATGCATTTTTGACCGTCCAATGTATGAAAATAATTGGCATATATGTTAATTTTCTTTTTGGCAACGCATTTATATATGTTTATTTAGTTTAGGGATTACTAAAATTCAGTAGCACGTATTAAGGCATTAACCAGCTATAAATAATTTCTTCAAACAATCAGTTTATAGTACGTACATATAAATATAGTACGTGCGGCTAAATTATTTGATTTTAAAGATAAATTTAAGAAGTCGGTTGAAAATATATACAAACGATATAGAGAAGAGCATATTTGCCTCTGTTTTCAAGGTCGAAAACGCATCGTTTTGCGGCAAGAACAAGAGAGTATATTTAGCCGATAGAATTGGTAATAAGCATGTGGATGTGCATCGTGAGCATAATTTCTTGTTTCATGGCATTTTTTTCCTTAGCTTGAGTTCCAGTTTTTCGTACCGTCCACTCCAATGCATAGATTTGCATTCTAATATATATTATTGTTATATCCAGTTAAAAAAAAATCCAATTATATTATATAAATTGATAAATTGGCTAAATATGTCATAGTTCTTGAATTAGAGTAACAATTTATGGTTGATTCGAAGCCGCTAGTGTTGATCGATTCTATGCCTAAGGGTCAAAGTAACACAGTAAGCTAGCTTTTCATGTGCGTCAAGTCGCCAATATACAACTTGCTTCTTGAAAAATTAATCGTTTTCATTTTTTATTATTAATAATTTATCGATATCCATATGTCCATTTGACATGTTAACGTCAGCAAATAAACTTATAATTTAACTATTGACCGGTTTGATTGCAATATTAAATTCAATTTGAAATTATATTTATCGAACTTAAATAATTAAATTGTTTACATAAATATCCTAACCAATCGCGTTATTATATATATATTCTCGATTACTTTCCCTCTAAAATAGTCTCGACATTACAACTTGAATCATCGCCAACATCAAAATTGTCCAATACTCCAAGCTCGTCTTTGCCTTGTTCACTGCCTGTGAGAAGAAGAAACAGAGAGTTTGTTATATTACACGTTTAGTGCCTTCACAAACATTTATTCCACTATAACCCCTATATTACTGGATTCTAACAAAACAAACCATAAAATACTGATTGTACCTTAGTGGCAGAGGATGAATAAGTGACAGATTCTGAATTCGCAGTCGTCGTCGACATCGTAGAGAATCCTAAATCGTAAGCCAATGATCCATCGGGTCGAAATATCCCGTAGTTCTTCTCCGAAGTAGGACCCGGTTTCATATCCTCATTGAACAAGGCGAATATATAAACATCGAGCCTCGAACTCCGTCTCGCCGGTGTTCCTTCTCCGGCAAATTGCCTCATCATAAGATTCCGGTTATACGTCGCAGCATTAGACGGAGAGGCTCCAACCTCTCCCGCATCTCCTTTTGAAGGCCACCCTGTTTCCGCAACCCTAACTTCTATGTTACGGTACCCTAATTTCGCAGCCGCGAAAGCAACCGCATCGACTTGAGCATACATCATGTTGTCGTAGTGTAGTCTTGTGTTGGGATCTGTCATGCCGATGTTACGGTTGAATAGAACGTAATCGATTGGAATCTCGTTTGGGTTATCTTTGTAGGCAAAGTAAGGGTAAGCATTGATCCAAAAAGGAGATTTCGTGGCTTCCAAGAAATCTAGAAGTTGTTGCATCACGGAGGAAACCTCCGGTTTGAAACTTCCGGCCGATGGAGGATAAGATTCGGCGAGGACGGCAAGAGAGCATGGAGACGAGACTTGAATGTATCTGTCTAAACCTAACTGAACCAAGGCTTTGTGGATGTTTATCATCGCCGGCATCATGTACCTATCACAAAAGAAGACAAAAAATAATCAAAATTAGCATAGTTGAAGAAAATAAAACTACCGCACCTAATTATTTAAAACAATAGTATATCAAGTTTTTGTAACCACATGCAGATGACGTACCCATATATTTTACCATTTAAAACATTAAAAACGTTTGTAAAGATTGAAATCGCAGTGAGATTTTGACAGATATATATTTTTAAATGAGATCGTTATAATTGACCAAAAACTAACTGCTAAATGTGAAAATCAATGTAAAATGAATGCTACAAATTATATTAAGATTCGAATATTATAAATTACCCGATATTACTAGAGTCGTCGTCGGTGAAAAGCTCGTTTCCGACCATAATTCCCGTGATTCTAGTTGCCGGAATATAAGGTTTGATGTGAGAATCCACCCATTGGAGAGCTTGTTGAGGATCTTGTAACAAAGTTAAAACCTGATTTTCGATGGTGACGATGATCTCAATGTTTGAATTTGCAAAGGAACTAAGAATTTGAGGATTAGTGTCGTAGATTCTTGTTTTGGTGATCCTTAGAGATCTCAAGAGGTTAATAACTTTATCCGGTGAAGGCAAATTGTTCCCAACTTGTCCGTAATTGATGCCAAGAGACGTTACACTTTGTAGTATATTCCCTGCATTTATTTCCAATCAAAGAATAGGAATTTTTAGAAAATAATGCCAAAAAGTCCATAGGTTCCAAAAGTATAAACAAAGGGTTTAGACGTTGATAATTTTTAACGCGGCAACATACCGCATAAGAATTAAAAAACCTCATTAAAAAAATATAATCAAGGATGAAAAATCAAATCACCTGAGAAAACGAGAGAAAGTAGGAGAAAAACATGAATGAGATTGGAAAGTCTTGTGAATGTTCTTGATGTCATGTTGAGGAAGAGAGAGGGAGAGAGGGAGAGATTGTGAAGCTTCTGGGTTTTAAGAAAGGTTTAATGGAATATATATAGACATGCACAAGAAGCTAGCCAAGTTGAAGAATACTTTTCTTTGCCTGTTTGTTTTTTTTCCGTGTTTTTTTTTTGGTAAAAATAAAAGGTTTAGTCTTGAAGTTTTTGTTTTTTTAATGTTTTTTAGTCGTTTAGCTTTGCCTTCCCTATGTTGCTTTTCTCATTTATGCCTTTCTATGAACCACAACGAAGGATTTCTTATTAAAAATGATATATTATGTTTCAAAATATTTATATGAATGTATTTTTCTTAGAACAATATTTATGCACACTCCATGACAAGAAAAGTTCCATGCACATGCATGGAAAATTGGAAATATATTTGTGTGTTTGGTTTACAGTTATATATATATATGTTTATATATATATTTTAGACTTTGTGGTAGCGATTGAATTGGTTTGGTTAGTAAAGTGAGCACTGTTATACAAGAAAAAAAGGAGAATAATATAATGGGATACACATAAGCGAATGTAATAGAAAATTGCAAAGATTTCATATAAAGCACCGGAATTGTTTTGAAAATTCGTTTCAATTCAGCAGCTAGGCGAGTCGTGAATTAAAACAAGCTTTGACTATATAATACACCAAAAGTTTATTCTAATACAATCCGGGATAGAAAGATAGTATAAATTAGTATATCACGAATTCACGATACAATAACTATTAATTATTTAAACATGCTTACTTTAAGTAGTTATAATAAAAATTAGTCTTACTAATTCCTAATTAAGCAAATTCTAGAAATTTTAATTAAAGATTTATGTCTAATAAAAATGCCTGGTACTCAATAGGTAAATATATATCTGAACCCAAACTTCAAGATGATAAAGTACTCAATAGTTAAAACGGGCTATTAGTCACACAAAAAGAGTGTTTATTTTCTTACTAGTCTCGAGACTGTTATTGTTATTACTATCTAATTAATATGACTTTGTCTCTTTGAT